ACGCAAGCACTGCCGAACGTACTACGAAGAGAGTTGGTGTCTTGGAATGCACCAAACCCACCTGCAGCAGGGACCTCCACATCCCGCACCAGGGCGCCTTCCACGCCCGGCCTACTGCTGCTCTCTCCTCCAGCAGTGTCGCCCTCCCTGACGACCACCGCAGGACACAGCTCTGGGTGGCTGCTCGGCGGAACCCCCAATTCCGCCGCACCCGTGGCGCCCTCTTGCAGCGCCGCCGACCCCTCCTGGCCTTGCCCTTCCGACTCGGCCTGCAGTAGCGATGGCAGCATGCCCATCATCTCCTGCACCTCTGTCATCTCTACTCGTTCAGTTACTGCTCCGTTCCAGTCAGAAAGCGTCCAGTTCAGAGTTGCGTACCCTGGCTGCTGGAACCCCGCTGCCTCTCGCTTGGCATAGCCCGCACCGTCTTGCGGATCCTCCCGGGAGGACGAACGCTAGCGTGTTCGTGAGCCCTAGCCCTGTTAAGGGCCGGCGGACTTGGGGCTGCTGTTTAACTGTGTGTATTAGCTCGCATGAGAGAGGAGAGAGGGAGAAGGAGGAGAGGCCCCAATTCTCGAGAGAACACGGGGACTCTGCACTATCATCCAAAGCCTCTCAGCACATACCCTTCAAGTTGTCCCAGCTGCGTCCTACGTAACGGCTACTTTTCGACTATCTACTTCTACGCACGAACACCTCACGTCCGCTTACCACGAACCCACAGTCAGTTCGGATGAACTCGGGGATGAACAGCAGATCCAGCATCAGCATAACCTGCATCATGTGACACCACACAGGAAAGCGAAGAACGATGCGTTACTTGTTATTCCAGTGCACACCTCTCCGTTGGCTTGTGGGTCTAACATAGCACGGTGGCTTGACGCACCCAGAACGGCTAACCCCTCGCGACCCACGGGATGCTGACATACTGCTGCTGCTGTTGAACGACATACTGACACACACGCTGCTGCTGACAGCCGGAGTACACATGTCCAAGTCACAGCAACGATATAATATTTAGCTGCGACATGCACTCACTTCCGATTGCGTGAAACTTTGAAAGTTGACGCAGTCCTGTGGGCTGAAGAATGCTGTCACGTCCCTACGTGCGATACTCGTGGGCGTGTCGTCGAGTTCCAGACGGGCCATCGCGTAGATGAAAGGGATGTTGTACACGAACCATATATCGGTGTAGACTTCGAATAGATTACGGCATCGAAGCATGACCGAAGCACGTTTTTTGCGCTCGATTCGTTCGCGAATACGTAGACGGGACATGGTAGCCTCGCCCACACACTCAACAGTGGGAGCGCTGCAGAGCGCTCTGTCAAGAGACAGCTGTTCCCGCAGCAGGGCAGCAAGCAGCCACGGAAGGAGGGGGACTGTCAGGCCACTGTCCACCCCGGCCAATCACTTTCGCCCCAGCCTGCAGACCTCAAATCGGAGAATATTCGCCTGCAGGAAGTTTCCAGGAAACTTTCTTAACTCAAAATCTGTTTCCTTATTCCTGTAAATTTGGAGCCCCAGTCCGAAACTGTGTAATAGCTCTAAAGTCCACAAAAAATGGAGAGCCCGTGGTCTCAAAATTCGGTGCATACGACGCCGCGGGGAAACAAAACTAAAATAGGGTACAAATCACTCGTGTGTGTGATGAGGTCACTGGTTTTGTATAGAGACGCGGCAGAGATGGCGCGGATAACCCGGGTACCATAATTGTGTACCTGCATCGTGGAAGACCGATTCCTAGTCAGTGTCGATGTTTACACTGCTGTGTCGAACACAGATGATCTTGATAGATTCGGGTGATTGTCGATTGCAACGATGGCTTTGGTTGGGTGTTCTACTTCATTGTATGTCCACAGACACATTCTGACAGCACTTATTCAGACAGCAGCTGCATGCCCCGAGCTTGTGTACCACGCACCATGGTGTTATAATTGTACAGACAGCACTTCAGACAGCAGTACGCTGTAGTCGACATTCATTTTGGTTGAGTGCGGGACAAGGGGGGTAATGCTGCTGCTGTAGTCGAATTGTAGTGTGTGGGCGTGTAGTTCAGTTGTGAGCACGCAAACGTGCTGCAGGAATTGTAAGTGTACCTCCTCGGGCTTGTGTACCCTTTTCTTACTAATGAGTGCGTGTTCTTTAGATCTTCTGATGGCTCTAGCATTTTTGTGACCACGGACCGAGTCTTTGCTATGGTCCGTTCGGGCAAATATTCACAATCTTGTTTTTCGCGGTACATATCTTTCGAAAAAAAACGATTTGGAAAGTGAAACAACTTTGGGCGTGACCGCGGCGTCGAGCTTCGTCGATATCCGATGAGTTTTTGGTGATTGGGTGAAATGCGACATTATTGAC